AGTTTACACTGGATGTGTTGAAAGAAATCTAAAGTCTGGACCTTGTGGGACATTGTTTTAGGTTTTAATTAAATCAGATAAGAAACTAAATCTCTGGAATCTGACCAACAATATGTGTTTTTTTTTTATAGAGGCAGCCCACAAAAACATGACTGAGTCATTTTTTTTCACACTTTGCCTGCTGATAGGCCCTCCACAGTCCCAAATGTACATAATCAAATGATTAAAAACTTGGTTTTCCATGATATGTCCTCTTTAGATGTGATTCATGAATAAAGCAGCAAGATGCTGAATTTTCTGAAGCCTGTGAGTTAAAAAAAACACAAAAAAATACTGTTTAATGTTTCTCTCCTGATTCACTCGTTTAGAAAATGGAGGCGAAGCGGCTCCAGAGAGACGTGGAGGCCCTCATGTGAGTGCACTTTAAAGTCGGAGACGCAGTGATAATAACCAGGAAGTAGCCTCTTCTAACCGTCGATGCTTCCTGTCCAATCAGAGCCGACTACGTGGGGCAGAGGCTGCGGGAGAAGTCCTTTGATCCCGCCGGGAGGGCCTCCAGCGTAATGGACGAGCTGGTAAAGACTGGGGATAAAGAGGGATGGGGATCGTTAATATTTATTGATATCGATACCTGTTGGAGCTATTTATCCTTTATTTCTTTATTCATTTGAATTTTGTTAGTTAATTCTTAAATGTATATTTTTTGTATTATTTACAGTATTTATTTGCAGGTTAATAATTGTTGATTCTATTTCATTTCTTGTCTTATTATTTTTCTTATTCATTCTTTGAGTTAGACAGGAAGTCATGTGGGTCAGTCCACTTTTCTATAAGTATAGGGGCCTGGTAAAGGACCAGTCCACTTTTCTATAAGTATAGGGGCCTGGTAAAGGACCAGCAAGGCATTTGGGTTTGGGGCCTATGGTTTTTACCAGAGCAAAAGAACAGAGCAAAAGAACAGAGCAAAAGAACAGAGCAAGAGATCAGAGCAAGAGAACAGAGCAAGAGAACCGAGTAAGATTGACAGAATGAGAACAAAGGAAAGTTTGAAATCTGTAATTGTTGCTGGAAAGAACAAATAAACCTTCCTGAATAATCAACAACTTTGGATGTTAAATCTTCTTTTGCCTGCGTACAGAAACTGGACCCCAGTGCCTTTTAGTGGCTTGAGGAACTTTTATTGGATGTTTGGTTTGACAAACAATCACCACTACAATACCTTTGTCGATACTCCTTATCGATCCGAGTCTTTATCGATACCACTATCGATAGTTTTCTGTTATTCAGTGGAAAGACGATGCAATATTTAGCAAATAAATAATTGTATTTTAAATTAAATGTCATTTTTAATAAATGATGGCATCAGTAGTTTAATTATATATTCTAAAATAATTAGAGCAATATACAACTGTATTTACTCTTGTTTCTCGCCCAAAACTCAATTTCCCTTTTCTTTACGTTACAATTGAACGCATCATGATAACCTAATTGTCGTTTTACTGAGCCAATCTGAACACGCGTCTGAAACTTTATTTACTTTTGAAGCTAACTAGCTTGTATGCTGCCGATTACAACACGGATTTCACAATTACTATTGTAATAATAAAAAAAACGACCAGACTCGATAGTGGTATCGATAAGCCCAAACGTTATTGATTTTCGGGTTTTGAAAAAAGTGGAACCGGGTCCTTGATAGAACCGGGTTTCGATCCCCATCCCTAATAAAGACTGGACCCTCAGAGCTGAGACTGGTGGGAATCCCCCCTTTGATCGGTCTCTGTGTCTCCTTACAGGCTCACTACGATCTCGCCATCAGCGTCGCTCTGTGGTGGTTAAACCGGGAGGAATTAAACCGGGAGGAATTAAAACGGGAGGAAGGACAGGGCGGTGTCGACACAGGCATCATGTATGTGTCACAAAACAGCCACAAAGAGACATTAGACAGCCACAAAGAGACATAAGAAAACACAAAGAGACACTAAACAGCTACAAAGAGACATTAAACAGCCACAAAGAGACACTAAACAGCTACAAAGAGACATAAAACCACTACAAAGAGACAATAAATGAGTTAAAAGAGACGCATACCAAGCACAAAGAAAAACTAAACAACTACAAAGAGACACTAAACAGCTACAAAGACACACAAGACAACCACAGACACAAAAAACTACAAAGAGACATTAAACAGCTACAAATATGCATACAACAACTACAGAGAGACAATAAACAATTTAAAAGAGACACAAAACAACCACAAAGAGACACTAAACGGCTACAAAGAGACATAAAACAGCCATAAAGAGACAAAAAAGGAGTTCAAAGAGACGCATAACAAGCACAAAGAAACAATAAACGGCTACAAAGATATAATAAACAACTTCAAAGAGACACAAAACAACTTCAAAGAGACACTAAACAGCAACAAAGAGACACTAAACGACAGACAGACATAAAACAACTTCAAAGAGACAATAAACAACTGCAGAGAAAAGCAAACAACCACAAAGAGACACTTGACAACCAAAAAACAACACAAAACAACTACTAAGAGACATGAAACAGCTACACAGAGACATCTAACAGCCCCACAGGAAGCCAAACGAATCCACGTTTGACTAATGAATTATTTAGCTGTTACCTATCCGAGGTAAACAGCAAACGGAGGAGGGGAAACATGGAGGTTTATCAGCAGATTAAAGGCTGAAAACACAAAACCTTTGATCTGTTCTGTCTGACATTAACCCTTTAAAGCCTGATCCAAGAATAAAACAAAACAGAATTACTTTTTTTTTTTGTTTGAATTCCTTATTTGGCCTTTTAACAAAATATGTAAACAGAAAAAGCAGAAAAACATTTTTGATATTAATAATTTATTACTATGTGATAAGTCCCGATTATTTTTTGTGTATCTTCTGTCCCCTGTTATCAGGTGTATCTGATTGTGTAAAATAGGATTTTGAGCAAAGTTTTAAATTATGCAAAAGGAGTCAGACGCAAAACATTTCAGAAACCGTATGAATCAGATATGATACGTTTGGCATTACAGGGTTAAAATAGAGGTTTCATGTTAGGTTGTTTCCTTAAACCAGTGTTTCTCAACCACTAGTGTGCCGTAGAAAATCATCCTATTTCACCTAATTGGTCTAAAAAGATTTTTTGATAAGGAATTAATTATCTGCAAATAATATGTCATTTTTGAGTGTGTGAGCTGTTCTAGTGACTGGTGGAGTAATCATGTAATAATTCCTTATGACTAGATTTTGTATACAATTTTGTATATTGAAGAGGACATGTTAAGAGCAATTTGAAAGACGAAATATAAAATATGATAAAAATACATTTTTGTGTTTATTTGATTCCTGTTCAAGACACTTAAGATAAGACTTAGACTTAGACTTCCTTTATTGTCATTGTACAAAAAACACAAGGTGAATCTTGACAACGAAATGTCGATTACTTGATAAGATAAGAATAACAATACAGGACTGTCTCAGAAAATTTGAATATTGTGATGAAGTTCTTTATTTTCTGTAATGCAATTAAAAAACATGAAATGTCATACATTCTGGATTCATTACAAATCAACTGAGATATCGCAAGCCTTTTATTGTGTTAATATCGCTGATTATGGCGTACAGCTTAAGAAACCCAAATATCCTATCTCAAAATATTAGAATATCGGATTTTTGAGTTTTTGTCAGCTGTACGCCATAGTAATGAATCCAGAATGTATGACATTTCATGATTTTTAATTGCATTACAGAAAATAAAGAACTTTATCACAATAATCTAATTTTCTGAGACAGTCCTGTAGTGTTACTATAGGCGGCTACAGATTTGTTTGACATTTTTGGTTGGTGGTCTGCCTCGTGATTATTTCAATGAAAAAATGTACCTTGGGTCAAAAAAGCTTGAAAAACACTGCGTTAATCTAAAGTATAACCTTTCCCCGGTAGTGGAGCCCCTTACCCCAGTCGTTTGGAACGGGAGGCCATGATCCTGTCCTCCTTTGCTGGAATCATCATGGTGAGTTCTCAGGTTTACGTCCACCCTGAAGATAACGCCTCCTAACTTTGGTTTTTCTAACATAAAACCGAACAAATGATGAGCTGAAACCAGTCGACTAAAAGCTAGAACGGGACTCAGAGAGGTGGACCACAGAAGTTTCCAGTTTAGGAGCTAAAACAGGCTGATTCCAGAGCAGAAACAGACTCAGTTGAACCAAAATGAGGAGAAAATGAGGCTTAAAGTGTCTCACTGCTCAGTTTGATGAAGAATCCTCTGAAAACAGGAGCTGATTTTACACTAAAACGATGGAAATGTGTCAGTTTATTTATGATAAGATAATATAAATGATTAGAATTAATCTAGAAATCAGATAAAACTGACTAAAATAAATAAAAATAATTCAGAATATTTAGTCGGAAATCAACTAAACTTTTAGACTTTTCATCAAGAAGAATAAAGAATCCCACAAATTAATTTGAGAGTCAGATAAATTACTAAAATAAATAAAAATAATTCAGAATATCTCAAATTTTAAACCTTAAATGTAGCTTTTCTCCTCCAGAATCAGCTCTGGTTTTCCCTGAATGAGCTCTGTTCAGCAGATTACAGACAGAAGCAGAAACATGATTCAGGAGCTGAAACTCAAACATTTGAGGTCATTTTTTTGCTTTTTGAGCGTTCAGATCGGAGCTGAGCGGACGTCTGTTTCTGTTCCAGAGCCGCCTGCCGGTGGAAGAGATCCTGGATCTGTACAAACGGAAACCAGCCGCCTGCTTCCCCGGCCCCCAAACACAGGTCAGACTCCAAAACTCTGCCTCTGTTTTCCTAAATCCTCACATTTCCGAGTGTTTTTTAGTCTTTTCTGGTGAAATACAGCAGAACCTCGACTTAAACGTACAAATTTTCCAATATCCGAAGAGAAATTCGATCAAATATTCGACTCAACACCCAAGTAAATTACCAACATGACGTCAAAGTCATACAAAAAAAAATATATAAAATATAAAAATTAAATAAAAATAACTAAGTTAAGTTGGTTTAAAGTTTCTGTATAAAGTCAGAGTGAGTTAGGGTTGGTCCTGTATCTCAGTCTCCACCAAAATAAATAAATGAATAAATAATAAAAAAATAAAAAAAACATATATATATATATATACAAATTCAATATAAATAAATGAGCTAAGTTGGTTTAAAGTTCCTGTCTAAAGTCAGAGTGAGTTAGGGTTGGTCCTGTATCTCAGTCTCCACCAAAATAAAT